TCGCTGACCCTGGACAATCTCAACTATTAGGTTACAAATGCGCCCTAACACTACCGGTACCCCAAAACTACTTTTCGTTCTCAATTGGCCCTCTATCAATGACCTGTGTTGCCTGTACAGCGAGGCATTTAGAGAAGGAGAAAACCGGCCGGAATGCTTTAAGTTTATCAATAACGAAGATAAACATGGTCTTATAGTTACACACCGGTAATCTTTGAGTTGACTCTTTTCAACTCATTGTAAATATGACTGTTATTCGTTTTGAAATAACTCCTGTAATACATTGCAATTGCTCGAATTCGAGCAACATGTACGCTAGTATTTTATGAAAGAATCTAATTGCTCAATGATGAGAACTTAAACTTGGACCTGACTTCAGTCAGCTGTTGGGCTGAGAACAGGTGTTGAGAAAGAGTGACAGTTTAGCCAACTATTGGCAACAAGAAACCAACATAAGCTGGCAAACATTCAAACACCCTGCTGCCATTCAATGTTTATGTTTTGTGTTCCATTTTGATCTTGTTCAACTCTGAACTACAACTGTTTACGACTTGGTTATTTTAGTTTTTTGTTGTATTCAGTGATCAGTAAAATTGGATCATTGGAAGCTTTCATTGCTTTGAGTTTTGAGTTTCTGTATTTTGGTAAGCAATGAGTCCCTTTCCATAGTAAAGTTTATAGTTAATATTAAAATATAATTTCCATGTAACACATTTTTCTTATTATGTGTAGAGAGTGACAAAGTTAAATTGCCTTTTAAGCGACCACAAATAATAAAAAAAAAACATTTCTTTGACTGAATAAATCCGAAGTATGCAGAGTCACTGATAACTGTCTCAAAAACCAATAAGTTACCTCTGAGGTTTAAATATAAGTGGACTTAGAACTAATTTAGGTTAAATTTGTTTACAAAAATAAGCCAATTTAATTAGATTAACGACTATTCAAGTTAAAAATTGGATTCTAATGCATTAAAGTGTTTTGTTAATTCCTATACTTTGGATGATTTCCATTCCAAAAATTATCTGCTGACCTCCTCGTTCATTTCTAGTGACAAAATTTTGCTCTTCTCATTACGGTGCACCTACTACCCCAACAAAATTCCTTTAAATAAAGTCTCTTGTGTTGTATATAACATTATTAATGTGCAATTGCATTTTTCAATATTATATTTTACTATTGGACTAGTATTTTAATCCAATATCAATAACAGCACTTTTTGTCCTAAGACGCTAGGCATGAGCCCGGGATTGTTTTTCACATTACTTCAGGATAGACCTAGGCTGCGTACTTGGATAAAATCCATTTGTGATTTGGCGGGATTTGAACCCGGGACTTCAGGGATCGAAGTCCCGTGCTCCAACCACTAGACCATCTCGCTCCCCCTAATAACTAATAACAGCAGTGCAGTTACAGTAATCCAATCATTACAGGGTAATGAAGTGATGAAGAATCTGAGTATGGCTGAGAATAAGTAGACACTCCGTGTGTAGACTAGGTCTAGTTAATTATAAATTTACTGTCTGTTTAATAATAGCAAGTGATTAAAACATTCCAATGGCTGGCACTGGTGTTTGGCCTCAGGTCAAAACATCTATATAGACAGTTCAATATCTCCTTAGTACAAGAACCTAACCACAGTACACCCTAAATTTACTATTAGAGCTTGAAGGATTAAAATTATGTAGAAATGAATTTAGTATTTCAAGATTTATATGATGCCATCATACCAGGTACTGAAAAACTTACACACTTACCACCGAGTGTCAGTAGATTACACATACAGAGGAGTGTGACGACTGGTAGTGAGACTTTTAGCACATTTACTACCGAGTTTCAGTAGATTACACATACAGAGGAGTGTGACGACTGGTAGTGAGACTTAGTGAGACTAGACCGGTAGTAAATGTTTTAGCACATTTACTACCGAGTTTCAGTAGACTACACATACAGAGGAGTTGTATTTTTTACAATATAATAACAACTTTTTTTTTCAACGGTATATTTTCCTGCTGGTAGTAAAACTGTTTAAGCATTAAAAGACAAACACAGTAGTCTACCAATCAAAATAACAACAAAAGTGATTTCAGACAAAGACAGAAAACTACGGTCTCATCCAAAGACTAAGTCCTATGAGAGCAGAGAATAGAAAATGAGAAAAAATAATAACTCTTCCCATTAAAATGGCATGGGTGGTCCAGTGTTGGTCCTATTGTATCAATAAATTGAACTTTGAAATGAATCTTTATTACCATATGATTTGGTAATTTGAAATTATTTTAATAATTTGCATTATCTATCTATAATATTAAAACGAAACAGGGTTTTTTTATTTCACGATTCTGAATCAACAACTTGACCGATTTTCATGATTTTTGTGTTGAAAGAAAGATAATTTTGAGAACTAGGGAATGTCGAAGCCATAATTTTAATTTAAGGTTTCAGTTTTTTAGAAATTAAGTTTCAATTTTTAAAAAGTCTAGTAGCCGACGCTAGCAATTCAAAATATTTTCAGTGCTGGTTAAACTAACAGCTGGTTATAAACTGTCATTGAAATGTTTATGTTACAAGTTGTTTGTATACAAAAATCTCAAACAGTTTAATCAAGTTTAGTCGTAAATGCAAACTGTGTAAGTAAGTTATAGTTTCTGCCATGGAAATTTCATCTCATATTTGGGAAATCTTTTTTTAGAAATTTATTGCTTAATCGTTTAAGATATAAGAGGTTTACGTGTTGATACTTCTTTTTCTGTATGTCCGAATGTATATGAGTCATACTATAATTTTGGTTAGTAATGAAAGCATTAATTGGTGTAGTAGGTCTCTATAAAACTGTCCAATGAGCTGCAAGGTGCAGTAGAAACCAAAGTCGACTCATACCATACCATAACTCTCCCCGTAGTATTGAAAAGTGCAGACAAAATATACAGACCAGTTCAAGATAACAGAGGTCGAGATAAAAACAAACAGAGAGCTAAGAGAAATGTGTAAACACCCAGATATAGGGGTGCTTTCCAGAAGGAAAAGGCTTGGATGGGCAGGCTATGCATGGTGGATAGAAGATAAATCAACTTTTAAAAGTATATTCCATAGTACCACAAGATAAAAGACCACTTTGGAAGACCAAGAATTAAGTGGAAAGAACAAGCTATGAAATACATCCTCAGACCGGGATCTAAATTATAAGAGGCAGGGGATGGAAGAGAATGGGTGGCCAGAATCCTCATAAGGTGTCATTTCATGAGGATTCTGGCCACCCAGTCAGTCTGTGGTCACGGAGGTAAAGGGGTGGTAAGTACATATGTAAGTGGTATATGCAATTGTAGCAACTCTACTCAATACCTGTGTGTGTGAATCGGTCTCCAATCTCACTTCAAGTCTTTTCAAATCGACGCAACTGCTATTTTATGGTAAAATTATTGAATTTAAAATGCATATCGCTATATTTTAGGTCTATAATCGGATGGAAGAAATAGGTAGTCACGTGACATTTATTAATAAGGTCAACAACTAAAAAATAACAATTAATTGTTAATTAGGTTGTTTTGTGGGCAGTTGGTCCCCATTAAAACTGCCAGAATTTGTCACTGTGCGTGTAAACTACATGTTCTGAACTATTCCGTTTTAATTGACTACTCGATTCCCGTACAAAGGACGCGCCAACAGCTCGTTTACAGTTAAGAGTAAAATAAAACAAAGACTGTGGACAAAGACAATGGACTAAAAGACAAAGATAGAGAAGAACTTGGTCCAAACCCGGTAAGTAGATGTAGCAACAAAGATTTGAGAACACCACAATTCCCATAAAAAATAATTAATTTTTTAGTCACAATTTAAAGGTCCATAGTATTACATATCCAGGATTCCTAATATTCAAGTTGGGTTTACAGGATGCCAGTAAATGTGAGGCAATTGTCAGAAGACAAACGAGTGACATAAAATTATTGGCTTCGTGTAATTCGTGTAAACACTTCTGGCCAATTGTCTTGCCAACTGCTCTCACACTTAATCATAGGTAATATGGGAGTATGATTTATCTATGGTAATATTATAGTTTTAATGGATAGAATGATTGTTGTTATATTATAGTATAATGTAAATTTAATTGTTATAACCATGATCACTTATTGTGAGTCTTAATGATTACTTATAAATAATATTGAAAATTGTGTAGATACTGGTGATGGCGATCCCTTATTATTTATTACTTACCTAGCTATTATAGCTAACTTATCCCACTTATTTGGTGGGAAAAGTAGTTGCCAAGTGTAGTTTGAGGGACTACCAAAATCAGCTGTTTACACCATTGTCAAATTATAATACTACAGTAAACCCTCCATTGACCATCACCCATAACACCAGGACTGTTCAACTGAATAGCCGGAGACAGAAATTCTTCCATGAATGTGTACAGTTTTGAAAAGTACGATGATTTTGTGAAGAAATAACACAGTGTACATATGAATAATATCATATTATTTAATCCATATAAATAAAAATGAATCCCTTTTTTTATGGTACAGTATTCCATAACTTGAGAACGAGTGCACCGAATTGGATGACTCTTATTTTGTCGTGTTCCTTATAGTGCCAGGGGAAGGCTTTTATTTAAGGAAATTTAGAATCCATCCAACCGTTATTTAGTAATTTGATTTTAAAAATTAAAAAAAAAATTGCCTTTACATTAGCTGACTGACTTCAATTAACGAGCATTTGACATAAATCCACATTAGGACAGGAATATGTCTGTCGGGCCAGCTAGTTTACTATAGGCCTACAAATATGTGCTGTCAGATAAACTGTATATTGTTTATTTTTTATGTTTTATACATTTGTAAAAAAACCAACAGTAAAAATATCAAATACAATTTTTGAAATGACAAGAGATTAACAGTTAAAAGAGTGACAAATAATCAAGGTTTTTTTCACATACCGAAATTTAAAAACTAAATACACACTTTTACATATTAATTGACAAGCAATCAAATAAGACAACTTACAGAAACAAATGCTTAGTAGGTGCTTGAACTGGTGCTAACCACTGACTGGGGCTGGCACCTGACGAGTTGTCTCAGCTTGGCAGCCATCTTGGAACTCAGCCAGCTGATTCTTGACAACTTCCTGATTCAGGTGGGAGGTACTCAGCACATTTCAAACTGGCGACATTGTTTTGAGCTGGGTAAAAATTTGTTGAGGTAAATACACAGTTTTTTAAGCGATTGGCAAACTTCCAATGAATGAAATTGACAATGTCAGACATCTCTAGAATTAGATGTTTAGCCTTAACCTGTTTTAAAGTGGGAAACGTGTGAAGGTTGTGGTACATTTATTATTAGCCTATAGTTTGTTTGTATTGTTGTGGGGAGTGAATTAAAATAAACGGTATCAGCATTCTGACACATACTTTCTCCCATAAGTTTGTCAACAACCTTTATCATGTGTAAGCGGTGAGAGTAAATGTACGGAAATGGGATTTGTACAATTTTGTTCAGAATTTAAAGGATTATAACATACTAAATTTTTATCCAAATTGTTCGAGCCAATTTTGGGAAAATCCGATTTTTCCGTTATTTTATGGGGTTTTTATGGGAAAATAACATAATTTACAACAACTTTTGAACCGTAATTTTTACAGAAATGGGATTTGTACCATTTTGTTCAGAATTTAAAGGACTATAACATACTAAATTTTTTATCAAAATCGTTCAGGCCATTTTTGGGAAAATCCTATTTTTCCGTTATTTTATGTTGTTTTATGGGAAAATCCCAATTAAAAATAAAAATTTCTAAAAAATGAAAAAACTATCAAAGTTGTAAGGACCATAACATACTATGTTACATCAAAACCGGATTTTTGTCTAAAATCCTATTTTTCGTTATTTTATGGAGTTTTTATGGGAAAATAACATAATTTACCATAACTTTTGAACCGTAATTTTTACAGAAATGGGATTTGTACCATTTTGTTCAGAATTTAAAGGGCTACAACATACTAAATTTTTATCAAAATCGTTTGGGCCATTTTTGAAAAAATCTGATTTTTCCGTTTTTTTATGAATTTTTTATGGGAAAATCCCCATTAAAAATCAAAATTTCAAAAAATTAAAAAAAGCCTGTAGATACCATGGATTAGAACCTACATACCAAATTTGATCGAAATCGGACCACAGGTGTAGTCTCTAGCTCTGTACACATCCAGACACACACACAGACATCACTTCGAAAACCACTTTTTTGGGTCCAGTGGGACCCAAAACGAATATATCTACTCAAAACTCAAACTCAAAAATTTTGACGAAAACAATACTTTCTCCATATACTATAGTATAGGGGGGGAAAGTAAAAGGAGCTTTGAGTGTTGTTACAGTGGTTGAGTCTTGAACTTACAAAGAACGGTCCCTTTTTAATGGTTAAAGCACTACTGTAATACTGTAAATAATTGTGTTTTCAAACTTTGAATCCTGAAAAAAACACAATAGAATTAACTAAAAGGCCGGAAAAATACTTATTGGACCTCTACTCATTGATAAATAATGTAATAACTAATAATTCTGGATCTTGCCTTGACCCATAATATATTTTATAATTGAGCATAATATATTCTGTACAATGGGATGTACATGGAACGGCAACATTTAACCTATAAAAATTACTATTTAATTGTACCTCAAACTACATATAAGTTATTAATGCAGTGAAATTCAATCTTAGACAAACTAAAAGAAAAATTAATTCTAAGAAACTAAAACCATAAATAATTTTGTTTGTCAATGAGAGAGAAATGTAGAAGTGTAAGTTTTAGTATCTACTTAAATTTTACAAAAACAATGAATGCTATTAATCATGAGCCTCTTCTCAATACAATAAGTTTTCAAGAGTTTCAAACCAAAAGCAAATAAGTTAGGCTAAAGTTGAACAATTTACATTGTATATAAGATGTGAAGTTACCAAAATATTGTATTGTTTAATTTATTATTACTTATAAAGTTAAATTTGCAAATCTTGGCAGTGTTTAAATGACTGAACCTTACAATAATATGAGGGCTAATTAAGTATCAGTTAAAATCACAACACTGATAAGATGATGTGAACAGAGGAGACATGTTTCATTGCAATGGCAGTTGAACTGCCCACTGTAGTGAGTACAACCTTAGATATGTGAAAGTGACAAGTGTGTAAACATTTAAAATAGATAAACATGTATTCAACTCTTGCCCCATTTCTAATTATTTTTACTGAACTAATCCTTGCTCAAGATAATAAACAAAATGAGGATTTGTTGAGTTCTGAAGAGGATTTTCTGAATACTCCTAAATTCAGTCTCCGCTCTTCAGATTTTGCAGAGATCGCAACGACTGCATCATTTGTTGACAAGTCAATGTTTATCAAAACTTTTGTGGAAGATAAAGAAGTAGTTGTCATTACTGCTCCAAATCATTTTGGAAAATCAACAAATGTAAACATGCTTAAAAGGTTTGTTACTATTACAGTGGTTGATTATTACATGTTTTATGATTCTTTTCTGATAAGAATAGTCCATTCATTTTCTAGTAAACGATCCATGGCAATTTTATAGTTGTGTTAGAAGATTTCTTCTTCCTGTTACTAACTACAAACTATGTTAAAATCAACAAAATTGCTTCATTAAGCTCATAGCACACAGGAAGCGCGGTGTGTCACTGCCACATGATGCCTTGCAAATGGAAAATATTTTGGTTGAATACTTTAGATTTAATTTAATGAGAACGTGCACACTGGAATTGTTGCAGCGTGGACACCGTGGAATTGTTCCACTGCCGAAACTCCCAGAAGAATAGAAAGCGCAATATTTCCACTAGAGTGGCACAGCGTACTTGCTGTGTGTGGTAGAAGTGGAACATTTCTGTAACAAAAACATATCCTCCTCTTCAGGACTGCTCAACTTAAAACACAACTTAAAAAATAACGAATCTTTGTATGGTTTTAGATAGATCATCATTATAAGTGATGTACCTATGTAACAGTAAAGTAATAGGACTACACTACCGAAACAAAAGGTAGGACCTTATTCCCGACCCCTAGCTTATCTTTATCTTATCCAGATACCGGTTTGTCCCCATGAAAGTTTCCCATGGGAATATTTATTTGTTCATTCAATAACTTTACATTCTGGAAATTTTCAATTCAATGTTAGGAAAACATGCTTTGCTATGAATGAAATGTGCATTTACTATTAAAAAAGTTTTATTTTAATAACATATGTAACTAGTGTTTTTTATTATCAATCATTGGACATTTTATACTGTTACTCATTAACTTATGTATCTCAGTTACAGTTTGTTGATTACTGTGTAGATTTTTGGAGATTGAGGTAGATGATGAGGGTAACAGGAAGACAAAAGTTTTCAACTTTCATCTTCCAATCCGGGATACTGATAACTACAGACTGTTTGTTGAGAACAGACTCAAAGTAAGTTTTTTATGTTCAAAAGACTACAATCATTATATTCGTCTGATGTAGATATACAATTGGTTAGGAATGTAGCTTTATTGTAATAGTATATTACGTTACTAGTCCTGAAAATAAGTGTTTGTCGGACGAGTGTGGTCGTTCCCGTGCGAGACGAAGTCGAGTACGGGATTACCATACGAGTCCGGTAAACACATTTTGGACGAGTGACGTACGATAGTTTACGCCATACTACTAAATCTGTACAAATCCTTATATATTTCCACCTACTAAAGGACTGAAAATCACTAGTCATAACCTCTAAGAGAGGTTATGTTTTTGTTTATAACCAATCATTGCCACCTAAATACAGTATAATCAGCTGATTGGTGTCTGGTAAAACTCATTGCAGAACAGTATTACGCAATGAAACCCCATTTGAATAAGCTGGCGGCAAACAGCTGTTTTCTGGACTAAATCCTTGCGTGGGAAGTTCGTCAAAATAGTGTAGTGTGGCGTAAATAATTTTTTTTATATACTTGAAGATAAATATTGTAGGCATATATACAGGGTGTAAATAAAGTCCCACACAGGTTTAATATGCTCTGAACGATAACAGATAAATTAATAAGAATTGGTACAGCAACATGACACATGAATTTTGAAGGAATTATCAGTTTTCTGTGATATCATGGGGACAGAAGGATTGTAAGGAGTCAGAAGGAAATCTTAAACAGGAGCATAGGTACATCAAATTGAAGGCCTTTACTAGCAGAATACAATAAATTTAAACTCAAACGGACAACCGAGTCAAAAATGGCAGCCGTTCAAAGATCTTGAATCTGCCATTTAGAATCTTTGAACAGCTGCCATTTGTTGCCAGTTGTTCTTTTGAGCTGCATTGTAATCTACTAATAATAAATACCTTTAATTTGATGAGCATCGACCGATGCTTACGTTTACGATTTTCTTCCGATTCCTAGCAGGGCCCCCCATAGGGGGTAGCAAATAATAATTTCAGACCATTAAAAAGTTATTTACCATCCTCAAGTTTGAACCAGTAACTTTTTAAATACCAGGCATGCACTATACACTCAGCTACTCAGCCATAATTATAAAACTGACTTTTATTTCTGAATATTAGATTGCGGAGAACCAAACCTTCATGGATCAGTATTTTGGCAAGCACCCTGTGATACATGTAGACATGGAGTATGACAATATCCATGTAATGAGTTATGATGTTGCTGTGGAACAGATGAAGTACATTGTACATCGCAGCTACGTCGACCACGCGTATCTCAGAAAGAGTGACAGGTACAATACCCCACAGAAATACAATGGTTACCTACAACATGGTGTTCCTAAATGAATATCAGGGTTTCAACACTTTTTGATATTTACTTTATCAAAACTAGAATTTATAAATTTAATTTATTTCTAAGAGGTTGGCAGTCTTTTTGTGTGTTTGCCCGTTCACATAACTCTCGACCCCTCCTGTGGAACATATCCAGTAAAGCAAGGGGTGAGCCAGTACAGTACAAGGGTGAACTCTATTGATAAACATTTGAGGCAGGTACCTGGATCAGTAGTTATGTAATGATTCCTTCGAGCGCAGGAGGAGGAAGAGAGTCCCCAGAGCGGGTTCATTTTTTGGACTCGAATAA